TTACTGTGCAAGTGACTGCATTGGAACAGGCTGCCCAGGGAGGTTGTGGGGTCTCCCTCACTGGAGATACTCAAGAACCTCCTGGATGTAATCCTAAGCAATATGCTCTGGGATGCCCTTTCTTCAGCAGGGAGGTTAGACCAGATGACCCACTGTGGTCCAACCTGACTCATTCTGTGATTCTGCATATTACTAAAGCAGGCAATTCCACCCCTTTCCCTACCACATGTCCTCCTTCTTGCACTCCAGTAATTACAACTGGATCTCCACATAATATGACAGATTCTTCTCATCTGATGGAAATTACTCTGGTAGTTTCGTCTTCCTGTGGATAAGATGAAAGCTACAGATCAGCCAGTGGCTTCAAAATTGTCAAATCCTAAACAAGAAATGGAGGCGTATGTCATCTGAGAATAAGATTACCCTGTCCTGCAGGAACTGCCCTTGTAGCAGATTAGGAATAAGGTGAGATTTTTCTTTTCCTTACCATCTTTTCATCCCTTTGAAAGTCCTGGGGTGGAAATGACATTTTTCCTGTTACTATTGAGAACTAAGATGAAAATTAAATACACTATTGATGAAAAACCTATGTAATCACTAAGGAATAAATCAACAATAAAATCTTAACAGCTAAAAGTTCTCTTGCATTTGAATTTAGTTTTAATAGGCTATTCTAATTTTTAGCTATGTGTGCAATGTATTACTTTCATATTCTTGATATAATATTCTATTGGTTTGATTCTGCATCTTTAATTGAAGGTTTCTGCAGGTGCACCAAGCTTGTTTATACGATGATCTTAATTCCATAGAGTTTTGAAACTCAGTGCCCCTCCTAAATTGGCAGGTAGGAGCAGGAGAAGCAGTCGGCACAATTCCTCTGAGGGGCAGGGAATCCTCCATACTCAGGAGATGCAGTCTCCTGGCACTGCAGATTGCAAGTGTCATGCCACTCAAGGAATGAGGGGAGTTAGCATCAATGTACAGTTGACTTCTGTGTAAGGAGACAAGATAAAAAGCTAAAAATACAGTGGACACAGGCAAAAGAAATTGAGCTCTTGTGTCATTTTAGCACCAGGAATCATAAAGGAGAAGGTAGTGACAGTTCAGTGTGTAGAAAAATTATACAGAAAAAATAAAAAGGGTAAGAACAGAGGGAAAGATGTTTGGTGATGTTTGAAAACATTATGGACAACATGGGAATAGAATGTAAAATTATAGAGACCCTAATCAAGAATTATATTTTACCTCTGTAAAACTGTATTGGTATACCAGAAAATTATCTAATAAATGCAGTTTGAACATTAGTTGTATTTTTCCTGTAAGTATAAGGTTTTGCAAACGTTGAAGAAAAGTGGATTTTTAGGTCAACTTCAAGAATATTTACAAAAAAAAAAAATAGTAGGAGGTACAATTTCATTATTTGCTACATATGTTTTTGATATGTGAGTCATAATAACGTATTTGATCAGATCAGTGTAAGATAGCTTCTGAAATAATGAAGATAACAGATTAAATTTTTCTTACCCCATAAGCTTTGAATATTTGGGACCCAGGACTCTGATCCTTGAAATCTCTGGCAAAACTTAGGTTGGCTGGTGAAAGATCAGACTGCATTAGCTAAATACTAAAGTAGTCCTTTTAAGAAACTGGTTATTGTGCTGTCCATCTCTATACCTGTAACAGATTAGGAAGGGTTAACTGTAGAAGTGTTTTCTTCTATGTTTTGCATAGGTAAAGGTCAAAACTGACATGAAAACCAAATTACAATAACTTGCCTCTAGTGAAATCTACCCTCTCTGGGAATTAGGGCCTTTCCTTAGTGGGATTACTGGATAATTTAAGAAGAAGATACTGATATTCATATATTCTTTCTGGGAGTCTGATAATAGTGTTTGTTTTCTTACTGTGCTTTTGGGACTGAGTCCTTAATCCCTATAGCATTATGCATTGTACAAAAACATCTGTGCAAGCCAGGTTACCAAGAAATGAGGAAAGGGGGAAAACCCAATAAAACACAGGGATAATTCTCCAGATTCCCTTATTCCCACAACAACAAGGAGCTAAAAAAATGTTTCATGTATATATTGGGTATTTCATGACACTTTAAATAAAACAAGATGTGACAATGGTGATAAAAGACACCTTTGGTAGTCCTGTAAGAATAAACTCAAAGTGTATTTGGGGATGTGGGATTCTGCCCACGAGTTTCAGCTGCAGCATAATGCTTTAATTACTTACATACCCAGTTAAAATTGAGTAGGTAGTAATTAACTCATGCTCTATTTATATGCAGGGCAAACTATCTCTTGCTTTTCATGCCTACTATCCTCAGGAACAGTATCTGCAGCATAGATTAAGTTATCTCAGTAAACAATACTTCAGTAAAAAACTTAGTAGGTAACTTGTTTTTAATATTGAAAAGCTATGTGTAATAGATAAAACTCATTGAGCATAAGGGCAGTTAAACGCTGTGATTTTTTTTTTTTTTTTCACAAAGGTGGCTTTTCATCCAGAGATAATTTTCCTTTCTTACAGAGTAGAAGCATATTTGTCCTGAATACAGTTTGCTTAAGACCACAAAGCTGATCTTTCCATGCAAAACCAGCTTGCAGTCTGTGAAGTGTTCTGGCATTCACAAGCTTATGCTGCTTATATCTTCTGACCTTCAACAGGGTTTTCTGGAAGAGGCTTAAGAAACTGAATATAATGGTTTGAAATCAGTTGTGTCTTGCTGTGATTACATCAACACAGATAGTCAATATGTCCATGTTTATAACTGAGCACATGTCCATTGCTTAAACTTGATGTTCTTGCTGTCTTTGTGGCATATGGCATTAAGAGATGTATTTTAGGATAAACATATGTTTCGATCATGCAAAACAACAACTAGTAAAACAGAAATGTTCTGCTTAAGTGCTGTAACAGCCTAAGTTCATTCTGAAGAACTGCAGGAAAGAGAAGCCTTTACCAGCTCTATGTGTCTGCTTAATGCAACAAATCTTCTGCAACCTAAATGGTCTTGCAAAAATCGTATAGTAATACATACTGACTTCCAGGGAAAACATGGCTGAGCAATGTCAGGTTGCATAGCATCAGGAGCCCATAATTTGTATATGAGAATTCGATTTGGAAGACAAGACAATGTATAGGATGCAACTTACATGACTATACTTTTCCCATCCTTACTTTTGGTAGCCTAATTTCCTTTCCTACTCAAAAATCAACAAATATTGATCCGGTCCTCAGGACACTCTTGCAAAGCCATGGGGCTTGTTCACTTCTGCAGCTACCTCGCAGGGTAAGGATACTCCCGCTGTCTTCTTCTGCTTAAAGGGTTCTGCCTTTTAAGCAAACCCCAAAGTTTGTATGCTTACTTTAACATCAATGACAGTGTTGATGCTGGATAAAAGCTGGAAACTGATGCTAAGTTGTGCTGGGGTTTTGTTTTCCTCCAGTTACCCGTTTTCAAAGTTAAGGATATTAAAAACTTACCAGAAGGTAAAGCTTGTATGTAAAGGTAGTACTTGCATCACACTAAATAATATGGTTGAACAAGGCAGACAGGCTTTTGGGTGCAGAACCCTTCTAGCGGTCTAAAATTAACGAAGATTTCAAAGGTAGTACAAACTGCAAACAATTGTTCAATAATTTGGTTTTTGCTTATCAGTCCATCTCTGAAGAAAAAATCAGGGCTACCACTGGAGCGGAGGTGACCCGGGGAATTTTTAACATTGTCAGAAAAGGAGAGGGGTGAAGGGGCAGAGGAAGGGGCTTCAGTGTTTTCAGAACGTGCAACATGAGCAGTGGGGAGATGAGGATTATAATGACCTATAAAATCAGTTTCTCTGTTAAATCCTTAGTTTTACATAACCACCGGGATTATAAATTTTATAGGTTGTCTTTGGATGAACATTTTGTAAGTTTATCTTGAGGATCTGTTAGGTCTGAAATACTACAGCAGGAATAACAGCTTTACGAAGTGTGTTTCCACAAGTTGTTTAATTTATTGACTGCACACAGTCACTCTACTGAGTGCTGCCTGTTTATTTTCACCTACACAGGTACGGCAAAATCATCTGGTGCAAAGGACAGGGATTATTCCAGTCCAGGAAAGGAAAACGTAGAACCCAGGAACGCTCCGACTTAAAATACACCCGCGTTAATTTGGAGTCGTACAGGAGCAGACAGCAGTGCAGGAAAAGCAGATGAGCTGTGGCAGAGCAGCACCAGGGCAGCGCACAGCAGGAGCGCCGCAGCCTCGCAGCGCGGCCGCCGGAGCCGAGCGCCCGTGGGACCTAGTGGCAGCACATGGAGTAATGGGACACCCTGGAAGAACAGGGATTTGGGTTAGGTATCGGGAAGAAATTCTTTACTGTGAGGGTGGTGAGGCACTGGAAGAGGAGGTTCGTGGATGCCCCATCCCTGGCAGCGTTCGCAGCCAGGCTGGAAGGGCTCTGAGCAGCCTGGTCTGGTGGGAGCTGTCCCTGCCCATGGCGGGGGTGAGGGATCCAGATGATCTTCAAAGCCCCTTCCCGCTCCTTAGCATTCTGTGGTCCTATGGCCCTCCCACGAGGGCACACCAGGCGTGAGGGAAGCCCGGGGAAACCCACACACGGACGGGCGCAGTCCGCATTTAACCGAGTCACTTAAACACTCTGCACGTGCAGCTCTAAAAATCTTCACAAACTGAAGCGGGCTGGGGATCAACCCCTTCCCGGCCCGCGGGTGGCGGTGATGGGCATCGCGCCGCTCCCGCAGGGCGAGCAGGGCACGGGCAGCGCCGGGGGAGCCTCCTCGGCGGCGGCAGCTCCCAAACAAACACCGCCCGCCCGCGCCGCTCCCGCTCCTCGGGCCCGCCCGCGCCGCCCGAGCCCCGCCCGCGCCGCCCGAGCCCCGCCCGCGCCGCCCGAGCCCCGCCCGCGCCGCCCGAGCCCCGCCCGCGCCGCCCGAGCCCCGCCCCAGCCCCGCCCGCGCCCCGCGCACGCGCGGCTGCCCAACGGGAGGGCGCGGGCACGTGACCGAGGAGCGCGCGGGCGGGGCCGGCCCGGCGGCGGCGCAGAGGGGAGGGGGAGGAGGCGGATCCATCATGGCGTCGATGCAGGTGAGGCGGCTGCGGCGGAGCCCGGGGCAGCGCCGGGGCTGGGCGGCGGCGCGGGGAGCCGGGAGCGGCCGCTCCGCCGGGTGTGTGCGTGCGCGGCGCGGTGCGGAGGGAGGAACCGCCCGGGCAGAGGTTGAGAGCGGCGAGGTCCCGGGCAGCGGGGCCGGGGAGGGCAGGTGGCGGCGGACGGGCCGGGATGGAGGCGAGGCGCGCAGAGGTGTGAGGGGCGAGGCCCGGACTCGGGCGGGGCGGGCGCGGCGGGAGGCACCGGGCCCGGGGCACGGGGGAAGAGGCGCCTCAGGGAGGCGTCAGGCGGCGATGCCGCCGCTTCCTGGGCAGGCGAGGGAAGGGCGGAGGGATCCCGGCCCCCCGGGACTTGGGGAGGCCGCGGATTCGCTGGGCGCCGTGGGAATGTATCACACCGTGCGGGCTGCACGGTCAGCGGGGCCCTCCCCGTGTCAGCGTGGGACCGTGACCAGCAGCTCCGAGCTCCTGCGATCCGGCGCTGGAATTCCCCCGGACGAGGGGGACTGGGACAGGCATGTCCTGCTCCAAGCCGCCTGCTGCCCATGGGGTTCTCTTTCTCTCCGTAAAATGAGGTTGCGGTGTGGGGTCAGCTCTGGGGACATGTACCGTCTGGCTTTCTCGGCCGGATGGTATTGCTGTAGGTACAGTAGGATGGAACATGCTGCTGCCTGACAGGTATTTCCAGCTGAATTATTCATTCATATCTACTCCGAAGGGGTTCTTAAACAGGGGCTGCAGAAATTTCTCTGGTAGAATGGATCGCTTTCACTGTGTGTTGCTTTCAGTGGGTAGTGCTTTATTACGACTGGGGCAGGAGAAAAGAGCTTTAGGTTTTGTGGCAGTGGCCCCTTTCTCTCCTTATTTAACCAGTAACTTCTCTACTTTTTCTTGGATATTTATAGTTTTCCATTTTTTTTTTTTATATTTGAATCATATAGATCTAATTTTCTCTCATTTTGGTCCAGTACAGCTTACATTTTTTGTCACTAGTAATAGAACATCACGGAAAGAGTGTATAAAATGAGTGAAATTTGTTTAATTTTCCTAATAAGCTGGATTTAGCATAGCCAAAAAGAATTAAAATGTCAAATTATTGAACTGTATGGGATAAAAATTATTCTCCTGAAGTTAAGTCCCCCTTCCCCTCCGCCATTCCATGGTGTGTCTTTCACAGTTACTGAAATGAAACGAGATCTAGAAATTGAACATACTGTACAGAACGTTCTTTTCACAGTAGCTTAGGCAGGTAGTCTGATGTGCCTGGGTTTTATTAGCTCTATCTGTCAAATGCGTTTTTGCAATGCTCTTCTTCTAATGTACAGACTTTTACAAGCTCAACTGCAAAATAGAGGCTGTAGTTTCTTAAGAAGTGTCTTTTAAAAAACTGTGTGAAAAGTAGGAAAATGGCAGCAGTGAACCGGGAAAGAGGCACTCTGTAAAGGGACTTGGTAGAGCTGTGCTGTGTCGCTGTCTCTGGCCTGGTAAATGACCTTCTACAGCGTGCCTCACCCTAATTCCTGTTGCTCCCTCTGTAAAGGGAGAAAAATGGTTACATATTAAATGAGGTTGTTGAGAATACAGGAATGACAAGTGTTGCCTAAACATCAGATGTGTGGAGGGTAACACTCACTTCCTGAAATACAGCCGTGTTAAGTCTGATGTTGTAATTGCATTCATTTTAGAAATACCAGCTGTAAGATGGCACTTTTTGTTTTCTTACATGATGTTCTGTTGTCTTTTGATAAGAGATTCAAGGACATTTATGGAGATTTTTTGTCTGTATGTTGCTAATTGCATAATGCTCTAATTAATTTCTTATGTTTAGTAAACTGCTAATTTAATAATGTAGTTTAGCGTGTTGGAAAGGAGTTGTAAACAGGAAGCATAAATGCAAATTTAGTAAGTGAACTTACTAAATTTAGTAAGTTTATCATAGACATGCTCCCAGATGAGCAAGATTTCAAGACTGAATTCTGTCAATTAACATTTAAGTGTTCAGTGTGAAAAAATGTTTTACAAAGGAAACTGATATCTATAATTAAGTGGGGTTTTTTTTGGTCCAGGATCATTTATTATAATTACTGCTATGTACTAAGTTACTTGACACAACAAAAAGATGTCATATTTCTGATTAAGTATAGTGTTTTTAAATACACAATGTTTACATGAAACATTTGGGTAACTCATTGCCATCTCTGGCTCTGCCAGTGGTCTGACACTGTACTATTATGACAATATTATTGATTTTATTGATAAAAATGATACACTGGTGCACAAAGTAAGTTCTAGTTGCTTCTTACACTGCTGTAATTTTATACAACAGTGTATGATACCCCAAGTTAATTACATTTATTTTAACAGATTCACAGAAAAGTCTCAGATTAAGTTACAAGAGTTATCTGATTAGCCTGTTCTTAGTCAGTCTTCAGTGAAGTTTTGACTCTTGTAATAAATTGCCTCTTTGCTGATGGCTTTGAGCATCAGCCTGAACAGTTACTGCAGTTCAGTGAATGCACAGTAATTTGTGACTCTGAGCCTTTGTATGTATCATTAAACTTACAGTGATTTTTGTCTGTGTGGACAATCTGTAACAGGAGTTTTCTGTAACCTTTTTTTTCTGTGATAATAGAAGCCAATGCTTTTTTTTCTGTGATAATAGAAGCCAATGCTTATGAGACCTTGTGTTTTGTTTTCTAACCACAGTGTTGTTGCTAATTTGCCACTCCTGGACTGGTTTAAACCTGGTTTGCATAACTTTAGGCAAATCATATTTTTTCTTAAAAAAAGCTAACACACCCTAGACAAGCCTTTAAAGGAAGAGCACTTATTTTCAAGAATTTTCCCAGAAAAAGCCCAAGCATGTGCAATGTTTTCCTGGATAAAAACACAGAAATATTCTGAAAAGGTACAAGTAATGTAGAACAAGGTAAGAGAATGGATTTGCTTTAGAAAATTTTGATAAAGCATCTTTAGTAATCTGAAGTCTTTAAAGGCAAATCATGAAGAAATAGTAAATAGTTGTTCTCAGAACAGCCGGAAACACAGAACTTGCTTTATGAATGGAAGAGCAGGTAAAAGCAGAATAAGGAAGTTCAGTTGAAAATGTACACAATATACGTCATTGCTGTATGAAGTGTTAAATTATTAAAGCCTTTCCCTCAGGGTCCCAATATGAACTATTTGCATCACAAACTTGAAAGATTGACTTTATTGATAATACCGACATCTTAATTACTATGATTTACCTTTCACTTCCTTTTAGTTTTAATACTACAAACCTTGGATTTATTTGTGAAATTGTGAGAATATTTAGAGGGATGGTTTTAGGTTTTTTGTCACCAGAATAACTTCTCATATATTCTGTAAAGTTAGGCACATGAGATTTGTACTTGTGGGTGTTTACATCTGATTGAATGCAGAGGTGATGTAATTAATGACACAAACAACTTCAGTAAAGAGTATAGGATGTTAGCTTTCACTGTGCTTCTGTGTTATGCTTTGAAAACTGCTGTGGTGGGCTGCCATCAAAGTACATGCACACAACAAAATAAAGTGCTACTTGAAAAATCTTGTTCCATCAATAGAATTTTTTTTGAAATTGTGTGTCTAAGCAGCCATCTAATAAAATAACTATGTGAGATGACAATGCAGAAGTCATGGCCAGTTTGAGATCTCAGTGAACTTGTATCACAGAAGGCAAGCTAGTAACAATACGAAGATTTCCCGCAAGTTTTACCCCAGTAATTTCAGTCAGTGATGTAGGGGTTGAAGAAAATATTTACAGGCCACTGAAATCTCCAGAAAAAGTACATACACTTTTGGTTACACTTCCTTCTATTCTTTACCTGTGCTTCTAGTGTTGGTAGAAGTCTGTGTTTCCAGCTCTTCTCAAAACAATTACTTATTGTGCAATCTTTGCTCAACACTGGCAGTGTTTTTATTTAATGATTTGGCAATAATTTGTTCTTATTTAAAAGCTTTGTCCAGGAAAAAGTATTAAACTATTTTTATTGTGTGTTCCAAAAAAGTCCCAAACTCCAACCTTAAATGGGGAAAGCTTTCAGTGAATTGTAACTTGGATGGTTATGCACATTGGTTCTGTATTGTTAAGTGTCATCGTATGGGATGCTATTTGTCTTGTTTCAAAAAGAAAATGAGTGGGTACTGTAGCTGTATAACCGATTCTGGGATATAAACAAAATAAAATTACTGGTAGTCAGTAAAGTGTTTAGTGGTTCCATTGGTGAAATGCTGTTGAAGATAAAAATTTCAGTAATTATTTAAACTGTGAAATGCGAGTACTATAATTGAAACCAGAATGAGTAGACAGTAAAAATATTTTCCTCTGTCCACTAAGAGATTGTCCTTTACATAACCTTTGGTAATCAGTCTGTACTGATGTGTGCTGTATTAGCTTTGGCATATAACCATGCTAGAATGAAGTAAGATAAATACAAAATTTTTAGTAATTTTATCAAGATGAGTTAATTTAATCTTGGGAGTTTATTAATAAAGTTTTATCTTGAATATCAACTGAAATTTAAAATTTATAGTCTTCATTCAGTAAAGATAAATAAAATAGAAGTTATGGATTTAGGCCCTAAGGAGTCTCATTTGCTTGGTTTTGTATCTGCCTGTGTAAATAGAATTTTGGGAAATACTTCGCTGTACAGCAGCTGCAGAATTTTTGAGCTATGATGGAAGAATTCACTTCAGAGAAAGAAAGCAGTAGTAGAAAAGCTTATTGAAACAAGTGTCCCCTGAGCACTATCAGCAGCTCTTCCTTACAAATAGACCAACTATACAGCTAAAAATGTAAAAAAAACACGGATGCTTTCAGCCTATCGCATTGAACACTGGTGTCTCATGAATATGTGGATGATTTCAATAAGGAAAATAAAGTAGACAGATGTTTGTTGTAAAGAAGAGTAATTCCGGTTGATTACAATTGTTTTTTGCTCTGAGTTTTATAGTAT